ACATTTAATTAATGGATATCTATACCACACAAAAATTTAAATTTTAGCAAGGATTTAAACTGGTTATTAATTACGTTACCTTAGATGAGACTGGAAAAGGTACGAAGTCTTAAAAAAATTACTTAGAATTTTTTTACACGTTTCTTGTCCAAGTGGATTAGTGACCGGTATGCTGCAATTAGAAAATTTTAAGTGACTATAAGCGTTTTCTCAAAGAGGTTGCCTACTAATTTTTACGCGTTAAATTTTAGTGGAAATAAAACTGAAATTGATATATAATAAAAATATATGCAACTTGAAAAGGGAGAGATTCCAAATTCAAATCAAAAAGATTAAATTCAGATTAAAATTGTTTAAAATTGACTAAAATTAAATTTTATCTAACGCACAGACACAAATTATAGCTGCGAGTTTTGAAATATGGAAAACCGAGAGGTTTTTGATACCAAACCGTCAGTTTCCGGCAGGTTTTCGCGCTGAGTGGCGGAAACATTTTAAATAAACTCAAAACTGATTTTCTCTTTATGACGCATGATTCAGTTTATTCAACTATTCTCATGTCAATTTCTTACATTTTTATGCTACAAAAATTCTGAGCAGAGAAGGAAAACTTTAATTCATGAAAGTACTTTTAAACACAGTAAAAATAATATTAGTTATTAATGTTTCTATTGTATCGATAACATTACTAATGTGCAGTACTACTTACCGATTAAAATAAAATAAAATACGAATATTTACTAATTAAACATTTGGTTGAATCTTCATATAAAATCCTATAAATGTCTGCAGTAAATTATGGCAATGTCATAATTTAGCCTTGAAATATGGAAAATCAGAAGGAAAAAACAGAGAGTTTTGAGGAGGCACCGCTGCCATTTTAAAAGAAGCCCTAATTCCTTTTATAATGCATGATTACGATTTTTGAACTATTTATAATATTATTCTGATGTACTTTTATGTCCCTTGGCTAATTTCGTTTTGTCATTTTCTTACACTTTTTTACCGAGAAAATCTCAAATAAGGAAGGAAAGCTTTAATTTATCAAAGCACTTTCAAACACGACGAAAATAAAATTAAATAATTAATGTGTATGCAACAGTGTGGGTAAACTTAGTAATAAAACAAAAATTAAATACTAGCATTACCTAATTAAACAGTGATTAATTTTCATACATGACAATTCAGGTCAAATAAAATTTAATAAGAAAAATTACGCTCAAAATCATTAGGGATAGGGGGATGGAATTTGCCCAATTTTTTGTTTTATTAATTTAATAAAATTCATTTGTTGCTGGGAAACATTTCGTTTAGGAGTTTTTCGTAGTAAAGACTAAAACTAAAGAAATCTGGAGATTCGACTATCAACCGGGAAATCAGATGTGACGAAAAATAGACTCCCGGCTTTGCAGAGAGAGTAAGCAGCTATGCATTTAGATCAAATAAGAAACATTATGCTGAAGATTTTTTTTCACTACGGGCAGGGGAATGAAATTTGCTCAATTTAAGTTTCATTATTTCAAATCTGGAAGTTTTTTAACTGCTCAAATTTTATTTGCACAAATTAAATTTAAGGCTGAAAAACATTTTCATTATTAAAAGCTAAAATGAAAAGCTCGGAGATTCAGTGATCTATTGGGAGCTGTGTTGGAAAACTGTGAGAGTGGGCAACTATGACGAACATGTGTGCCTGTGTATGTGTGCTATGAAATCCAGCTAAGGAAATTATCTTATCTTATTTTAAATAATCTTAAATTTTCTTTACCTTTTATGGCAGTTGAGGCGCACACACACATTCACCCTCCCTGAAATATACACAATTTCAGATGTAGGACTTTTAATATTCAAGTTGGCAACAAATAAGGTTATTGTTTTTATAAATTAAGAGCGGAAAATTTTCCCCTTTGATTTCGCTTTTTTAACGTTAATTCCGTTTTTTATACACTCAACTATCCGTAATTTGAAATTTCTGGAACTTTAGCTCATGAACAGGGAATTTAAGTTCATGGACAGACACTATGCTTTGCTTTTCATCCAATAAGGTATGAACATATGTACATTAACGCAGTGTGTTTTACTCTGCTTGCAAATTTTATTTACTTTACAGTCTTCTCTTCAAATCTTCACTTAATGAACAAGTTCAGTGCCAGCATCCACGTGTGGGGGGAGGTGGGTTGGTGTTGGTGTATTTAATTATGGCAAAGCACACTAGGGCTATCTGCCTGTGGGGAGTAATGCCTTCGTGGAGGACTTTCTAAGGGAAACTGGCTCGTATACACGTTACACATGGGGAAAACCACGAAAACGCCCATGCAGCCAGCCCGTTCGCGGGATTCGAACCTCGGACCGAACCACCAGTGTTCAGCGACTTTACCGCTCGGCCGCTGGTGGGCGGGGGGAGGGGGGAATGCCATATTATGGTTTATGACTTAAAAATTAATGATAAATTTAATTAAATTAAAAGTGCTTTAGAGATGCAACTTCCTAGTGCTTCAAAGGTCAGTCCGTATTGAAATGTTTATGGAAATCTGAAATGTTATGGTATTCCTCCACTTCCCCTTTTACTGCCACAGTTCTAGTGTTAACAGAAGTTCATTTATTAAACAATAGGCCACAATAATTATTTTTTTCCAGTCAATGTGAATTACATTTCTCTGCAAAGAAACTGGTCATGGATGTAACACTTATTAAAAGTTTACATGAAGTGCTTCTTTTCATTCTTTTCAAATTTCTATAGATTCAGATTGTTGTTTTGGGAAAGCATATAAAGTATTAAATAAAGACACTATACAAATTAAAAATACCTGCTTCATATCGTTTTGATTACTTTGGATTTATAACAGTGTTATATTTTCTTTTCAGCTGCTCCGATTTTTAGAGGAATGGAATGATTAGTTAATTAATTGGTGCACCTAAAAACATTCTTTATTATCACAGAATTGAAAACTGCTATTTAATTATTATTGTTATATTGAATTTTAAATACAAAATGCTTTTTAAGTGAAAATGTTATCAAATTAAAATTTTATGCCATCAAAATTAATTTCTAGTACTCATATCGAATAAATTAAATAATGAATTTAAAATGTTTCACTTAGGGAAGGTTTCAAAAATTTAGCGTAATTTTGCAACATTGTGAAAAATTTATATTAATTTTAAGAAACAGGTATTTTGAAATACAATGTTCAATTATACATGAAATGATTTAGTATTAAAAATGCTCATGTAAAAGACACATATAATTCTGAACACATGCATGCGAAAATTTAATGATTACACTAATTATTGAAGTAGAATCATACTCAACGTGGATAATATAATTAAAAAGGAAAATTTAGTGATAATTTGAAACCATGAATGACTAGTATAAATAAATTATGTAGTAGGTTATTCAGTGTGTATGATACAAGCAGTGATGGTTTAATATTATACAGGACAACTATAACCTCTGAATTAACTGTTTCACTTACCCTCCCATAAAAAAAATAAGAGCACATATTAGTCTGAATGAATATTACAATAATTTTTTTATAAAAGTGATATTTTTGTTTTATTGTGGAATGACTCAGTCTTCAAGAGCCAGTTATCTTACATGAGGAATGGAAGTTTTTACAAGCAACTGTACTACAGGAACTTCAGCCACTAGCCAATTAATACACTAATACCTAATTTTATATCGAAATCTTAGTACTCTGAGAACTGTGAAGCATTCCATTAGTATATAATTAGGAATTAAAAGTGAATTGTAAACAAGAATGAAAGTATAATTTTAATACGATACTAGGCATTTATGATGTTACATGGTAGGCTATAAATATGAAGATCAGAATGTTATAAATTTTATGATGTATAACTCTGTATGATAAGTTTAGGGTACATATAAATGTTTTCAATATTTATGTTATTCTCAGATTAAAATGAAAAAAAAAAAAAATCTAAAACCATGAGGAATCTTCAAAGTTAGGATGAACACTTTACAAAACCATGCACTTTTCAAATTAATTGGACTGATGATTGAAATTTTAGAATTTATTTCAGTTGCACTTTTATAGTTTATATTTTTATATGATAATATTTCTCATCTTTTCTTTAATACTTTTTTCTCAGAAAGTCTTTATCACCAAGTTCTTCCTTTTTTGAAGAGGGAAAATGTAAGACAAAATTTTGTGTTTGTTTGTCTTTAAATTTTATTATTTTCTATCATAAAAATACCAATCAACTTATAACAATTCTTTCTAAAGTATGTCATTTGAAAGTCAATCCCGGTTATAGGATTCAGTATTGCCCTGGCACTACACATATTTATCGAAATTGCCAAACTTTATTTAATCTGTAATGAATAAATTCCAAATATGACAAAAATTTATGTGATACTTGCTTTAAGAAGGATGCACAGCTTTTCATACAAAGGTAATGATGCATACACTTAATGGCAAAAGTAAAATCATTTATCAATTTACAATTAAATTTAATGTCTAATTACACCAACAGCAATATAGATATACCATGTCCCCTTTGTTGAAAAATGAACTAACTTCAAATTAATTCATTCAAATTAATTCTTAAGATAATGTAAATAGCATAACCTTAACTCTTTTTGCATCTGTGCAGCTAATACATTGTCTCCTACCTCTTTTGTATTATCAGTTACAGTTCTATAAATATGTGAAATCTCTCAGCGTAATTTCTGAACATCTCGCAGCACTTTCACTACTTTAATATATTTTAAATAAAGAAATTTAAAAAAAAAGAAAAAAAAAATTTTTTAAAAAGGTAAAAAGAAAAATTTGAAAACAATTTTTAAATATTGTAAAAGAAAAAACTGAAGTGAAAAATGGAATCAAAAAGAAAATTTGTCTTTCAAGAACTAGCTAATAGTTGTGGAAAAGCAAATTCAATTGAGATACAAAAATTTTGTACTGTTATAATATGCATTTTTTGTATAAAAATTTTCACATTAAAAACTATAAATATCAGCAAACCTATTTCAAGACTATACAGTAAAGGTACAAATTACATTTATTAAATTTAAGAGCTGGTACATAAAACCATTAACAATATAAAATTCACATGCATAGCTTAATATAGCAAAAATTACAAATAGCGAGATTTTAATTTATATGGCCATAGTCCACAATTGATGTTAATCTTCATTTAATGTTCTTCATCATCCTCAGAAAAATCATCAGTATCACATAAGTCTTCCCACCTACTAAAACGGGAATATCTCTTCCTGCCTACAGGTTTATCATCACCTCGAGGCAGTGGTGATTGGTTATTGTGATTCTTCTTAGTTTGTCTTTTGTTTTTTGATTCCAGATCTTTATATTCATCAGAGGCTGAGCCTCCAGCATTTTTGCAGGCCAACTTCCCATTTTGATGACGCAAGCCATCTTTGTTATATTTTGTTCCTAATCTATTTTGAACATTCCAAGATGATGATCTATACGCACCAGAACTAAAATAATTTAATATTAGTTATTAGTATTCTTTTCTGATAAAATAAATAAAAGAAATACTAAAAATTCTTAATTATTTCTCGTAGCACCACTTATAAAATGTCTCCCAAAAAGAATCATAAAATTTAAAAATGAAATAAACTAAAAACTATTTCAAATACAACCAAACTTTACATATTATTTGGAAGTAAAATTGATGACATTGTTTTGAATAAAATGTCATTTAAGTATCCACCTTAAGTTAATGCACACAAGCGATTTTAATGAACCAAATTTGTGATGACTGTATGCATTAAATCAGGCCTTATTTATGATGGCAGAATTTGATGTTTATTCTTAATACTTGAGGAGTTTGCAGTTTCTTTGTGGACCATTCATTTCATATAATCTCATGAAAAATAATCCAAAGAAGTTAAATCATAGCTTCTGGGAGGCCAAGTAACAGTTGCTTTTCATAAAATTGTCTTTTCACCAAACACATTTTTGCAGTGCATAAATAATGGCATTAGCAGTATGACGTGGCATCATCTTGTTGGAGCCACATAATACTCTAAATCTGGCCATAAAAAAATTGTGATCATCAGTAAGTATTGCTCACCAATCACTATAACGGCATATCCTTCCTCATTCTGATCAAGCCCTCCGAAAAAAGCATGAAAAATAAAATTTCTTTGAAAATTTTTAATGATTCAGCTAATAGCAAGCACAGAAAGGTGTGGACCATACTTTTTGTGAAATGCATGTTGAGGACTTGCAAAAGAGTGTTTACTTTTATAAAATTTTTGGATCATAACCAAACATTCTTAAGTAGGTATTTAGTCATGATTGATTGTCCGAACATACTAAACACAAATAAAAGTTAGTTATAGTAATAACATTTCTAACGTGGTTGACATTTCATTTTAAAATAATGTCATTCTTATTGGAAGAACCCTTCAGTTTGGTGTTAAAATAAGTAAACATGTTTTGTATGTACATATTAAACTTAATGCAAAAATCTCATTATGTTTCATTTCTTTAAGAATTATTCCTTTTTTCCATAACTTTTGAACTGATATACTAATTTATTTGCACAAAAGATAATAATAATACAAATCAAAGTAACATACAATTTATTAGGATTAGAATTGGTGCTATGTTTTAAACTGGTTTCGAGTGCTCAAACTACACATTTAATGAGGCTGCAGGAGTTGTGGAAAGAAAAAAATTCTGAGTTTAGGGTTCTCAAAATAAATCTATCAACGAAGATAATCTTTAATGTTAATAGTTAAAACTGCTGACATGATATCTATATTTGTAACAGCTATAATGTTATTAAAAGCGAATCTGAAAATACTCTTAATAGCAACAATCATATAGCTAACAGCATATTAAAAGAATGTTTTTGTTTTTCAGATATACAGCACAGCTTTCATTATCTGAACAAGTGACAATTAAAACTTTAATAAAATTTAATAATACTTCATAAAATTTTAAAAAAAAAGGTTTTCCTCCTTGTTTGGATTTTTCTGAAAAACTAATTTAATGTCTTAAAAGTTTAATGCTTGAAAATAAGTTTATTAGATTAAGTTAACTGTGTACGGCAAAACAACTTATTCAGAGTTATCTATTATGAGAAGAGCTGTCTCTGTGGAAAATTTTCTAAGGTAAACTGATGTATATCCACTTCATATGGGGAAAACTACAAAAGCTCTCAAATAGCCATCTCATTTGCCAGGAAACCTAGTCAAGTAAGAAAAGAACCTAGTCGGACTAATGGCATTCAATGATTCTACCACTAACAGTTAGCAGACAAAATACTAAATTTGTGTTTAGCTTAAAATAAAAGGAATGCTTGGTGAATTAATGTAATTTGGTTGCAATAGATATACTTGAAAACCTATGACACTTAAAAATCAAGAGTGTTTTTTTTAAAGAAATTAGGAGAATTTTCTCAATGACAAAAAAGGCTTTTTAAATAATATGTAGAAAGAAAATATATTATTTAATAATGAATTAACTTTAAATAGTAACTAATTAATATCTGAAAGTTCAGTTATTATTCCTTAAATGCAAAAATACTTATATGTGAAAGAAAGTTTTATTACTTATGCCTTCTAATAACAGACAAATATTCTAATCAGTTCCCTAATCATTAAATTATACTTTAACCAGATCACTTATCGTTAATTTCAAAAGATGAATGAGTGTAATTCTGCACTCTAGAATTATGTTAAGAACATCAAATGATAACAAAATGGAGCCTACAAAAAAGCAAAAAGATTTATAGGTCCGAAGACTAAAACATAAATATTCATTTCTTCATAAGATAAACTTACAATAATCGGAAAATGTGCTCTCTTGTCAAGCAAATTTTTTTTTTAAATTTTTTAAATTTTTTTTTTTTTATTTTGGGAGAGCTTTACGCTTATATTTTGAAGTATTATTTTGAGAACTGCCAAGTAAATTGCTCGCAGGTGCAGACATTACTTAATTTTTCTCACACCTAATTTTAACAGTGAAAGTAATAACTGCATCTCCATTCACTTAAGGTATTTTATAACTTTCAACAAAGTCTTTTATCTTCACTCTAAAAACATTTACTTCTTCCTTAAAAAATCAAAAAATGGAATTCCACTGTTTGAGGGTTCCAGATAAACATTTCTCGAATGATAACTAGCATGTACATACATATTTCAGTATTATGCCAGCTGTTCGAATCGCTTCAGATTTTCCTTCCTTTTAGCAATCTTTCCAGGATAATAATAAATATCAACAATGTGTTTAGCCATGCTTACTTGCAAAGAAGCTGACTCTTTTTCACTGCTAAATTTAAGAGGTGGCAAGTTCATTTCATAATCCGCACATTTGAATTTTCCTTTTTTAAGATGCCTGCAACATCATTCTTCAAGCCTATAATTCCTGGTGCATTGTCGGCACTGCATGCTAAACAATATTCCTGAAGAATAGCACTTTCTTTTAAGGTTTTAATAATTAGCTGTGCTATACATTGAAGCCTGTTGAATCTCCTTTCAAAATGGGAAGAAAACTACACTAAATTTCAAAAGACTCCGGTAATGCAGTCAGTAACTGACGATTTATTTTTCATACCAATTTCTTGAACCCATTTCTTCTACAAATACAGCTGTTTTTGTCCTTGTACTTGAGTATTTCTTAGCGATTTTACTGTCGGAAACATCTTCTAAAAAAGATGCAGCATGATGCGATGCATCACATGGCAAGTTGTACTTCAGTAAAAAGGCAGATAACAGGCATTCTGCATTAATAACTTTTGGTCCTTTGTTTACACAAAAAAAAATTAATTTTTTTTTTTTTTTTTCAGTACAACTCACATTATCCTTCTGTATGCACATGTTTAAGAACATCAGCCCTTCAACAATTCGAAATGGAAAAAATTGCTATGACAAATGATACGCATTTCAATATTATATTTCTTTGACGGAATAATAGAAGGAAAGTCATCTGTGTACGAATTTTGAAAAGTACATTAGTATTTTCCATTTTTCCTAGACATAACTATGAGAAAAGATCGCAGCTTCTTATACGGTTTCTGGGTGGCACGTGAAACTTGCGCTGCCCACTGGCGAGAGTGACGAAATAAACAACTCTGATCTTGCGCTTGTGATCATTGACTAATATATGCAAAATGGCCTGCAGCGGTGCTTGATTTTCATTGGAGAACTAGAACATGATGTTTTCGGACTCTCATACACAAAGTAGAAATGCGCCATATCTCAGCGATGAAACAACTTTGGTTTTTTTAATATGCATCTAGAGAAAAAGAAGTGCTTTCAGATGCCAAAAAAAAATCACTTTTGGGGGTGCTATTAAGCCACGATACATAAAAATCGTGAGAAATTTTAAGAATAAGAGAAAGTCAGGAGAAATATGTTGAAAATAAGTTTGGCGTGAGTATGGTCAGAAATCGGGAGTCTCCTGCCTTAATCAGGAGAGTTGGCTATTCTGCAATGGTCTTTTTAAAGCACTGACAAATATAATTACACTGTGAAGAAGTTTTTGGCATATGAAACAAATCCTGACGTGTTATGTTTCTGATATAACTTTTTATGCTAAATGTACATATAAAATAAAAATTTCCATATATCATACAATTTTTGAATGATGACATTAAGTAATTTTTAATTTCAGGAATTTGGAATATTTTTAAATGATAATTAGTATCCGTAAAGCAATATTCAAATGATTAAATAGGATACGGTGGCTCTATAATGTATAGGATTTGTTTATAGTTAGAAGTTTCCAGGAGGTTTTCCTGGTGTGTAATAACACCATTTCCAACAAATTCCAAACCAACTTAAATCTGTTTTAAAATGCATGAATGAACAATATTTGATTTTGCCATAAAATATATTAATACTTAATTAGATATTTTAAATCTGATGCCCTTAGGCTAATTTCATTTTGTTATTTTTTCTATCATGAAAATAAATTAAATAATAAATGTACATATTATTTGAAACTTGGAACTTAGTAATGTATCATATATTGGTCAAACAAAATTTTATGCAAATATTTACTTATGAAAGACAGGTTAAATCTTCATAAAAAGTTCGATAATTTTCTACAGTAGATAAAACAATTCAGATCAAATAAAATTTAATAACAGAATTATCCTTAAAATCACTAGAGGTTGGGAATATAAAGGAAATGCAAGTTTCATAAATTAAAAAAAAAAATTAATTTATTGCTGAAGAACACTTTCTTTAATAAAAAAAGAATAAGAATAAACACTAAGAGTAAGATTTAGTAATTTACCAGAAAATGTGACAAAAACTAGAAGAATTAGCAGCATGAAAATAAATTGCACTTATTTATGAATAAGAATTTAAATTAATTTAAAATACAAATGTAAACACAGATTCAAAGAGTACTGCATTTGTATCATAAATTTACTTATCACATAAATTTAGAGATATACCATATATTTCCAAATAGAAGCCAGGAGGTAAGGCTTTGCTGTAAACATTCAGCCAAAATTGAAAATCTGTGCATAAGCCAAATTTAAAATTATCCTATTAATTCAAAAGTGATTATTTTGTCATCTAATTTAATTAGATCTAGAAGATGAAAGAGAATGCAAGTTCTCATTCTTTGCCAGATTGTCTGATAAAAATGTTGCATCAGCAATACGATGGAACTGAAGACAGTATTATCTATGAGGCTGATAATAATAGATGAAATCTAGGATGATGACGTTCATTAAAAACTTGCCTCTGCTAAACAGAATATACCAAATTGGATGCCAGTATTGTGAAATTTGATTAATGTATATTAGGATTATAAATAAAATAATATTTGAAAATATAAAAAATATGTAATTTTTTCATGATCAAATTGTTTTTAAATCATTTTGAGCTTGTATACAAGTCAACTCCCAAACTTAAGCAAAACATTTGATAAAAAAAATCTTGACTTGCCCACATAAGATAAAAAATGCACACATAAGTTTTATACTCATTTACACATATGAATGCATTATAATGCATCTACATATATGAATGCATTATAATGCATCACCAGACAACAGTCAGGTGTACAGAATGATACTGTATTGTATGATATTCCCTTCCTGTCTCACATTTCAAAGGGGAAATGCATGTAACTTTCCCTAAAGATTTATAACCCACAAGAAGTCAGGGTTTCAATAAGAACTGAGTAACTGCATGATAAATGCATGCACACACTTACCAATAACTGAATATATGCAAAAGCTGCACTATGAAATAGGTGTGCACCTTGATCTCTTGGATAGTCATTCCAAGTTAATTATATGCAAATTTTGTATATAAAACTTTTATATTACTAATGCCTATATAAACTTAGCATTTGCATCAAAATGTGCTTCCATCTTCTGCAAATTACAAGAAATCAAGATATGAACAACAAAACTGGTGACAGGAGTAGAATCATTAAAAAGGAAAGGAGGTAGGCCAATTCCTATTGTCATAAGCTTTATTTTTTTCTGATTTTGCATTAAAAAAAAGAGACAAAATGTTTGCGATAAAAGAAATTAGAAAGGAAAATTTCATGTTTATTGTGAAAGAATTAGGGCAGATTGTTCTTTAATTTGACAGCAGTGGATCTAAGAGAATGTGTTTTACAAAGTTCAGAGAGTGAAAATAACCCAGATTTCATGGTAGAAATTTTGAGAAGCACAGTTTCAGACAAGTTTAAATCTGAAGATAGACTTTTTGAATTAAAACATGAAAATCAACTAGAGCTAGCTCATATAAAGTGGAGTTAATTTGAATAGGAATTCTGATACAGAAATTGTAAATCCACTGGAGCATATGTTTAAAAATGCTCCCACATTGCTGATTTCTGTACCATAACACCAGATGCCTGGAATTTACTTTGCTAAGGAAAACTTTTAAAGTTCTGAACATCCCTAAAACTAAACTAAACTAAAGTCAGTGGCGTAACAGCCCTAAAGCTTCGTTCAGACGGGGGCGTAAAGGGCATAACTGGTTAAAACCGAGCTCCATTGCCAAGGCAACCAGTCTGTGATACGTCAAAAAATCTGGTTTAGGGCTCGTGGCATAGGGTTCAAAGTTTTCAACTTTACGCCGAGTTTGGGATAAGCATCGACCAATAGAGCGAAGCTAAAACGAAGCGGCGTTCTACAGAAGATTTCACTGTTACAAAACAAGCAGAGTGAACGCGAGAAATCAATCGAGCAGGAAAACAGCGCGGGAAAGTTGTAGACACATCCACGCATGTGCAAATTTAGCTTCTCTCATTGGCCACGGCTTATATCCCAGTCTCGCAAGTGTGAATGGAATTCCCGTATTTTATGCCCTTATGACTATGCCTCTATGCCGCCGTCTGAACGCAGCCTAATGGGCCAAGGCCTGCAGTGCCCGAAATCTGCTTTCTTGACCGTGGGCCCTGGGGTGTGTAAGCATATGCCCTGATCAAGTGGTCAGCTTGTAGCAGGACCCCCAGTGTTTAGTCCCCAAGCGAACTTGATACTTATTTTATAGACCCAAGTGATGGAAATCAAGGGATGAAAGGCTGAGTCGACCTTGCCCAGCCCAGGAATCGAACCCTTGACCTGTGGTGCTGCTGCACTATGCGCTAGCCACTGCGCCACTGGGCTTCTATGAACATCCCTAATAAAGTGAAAGTAGAAGTATTACTTAATATAGGTGAGCCATTAGAGACCTGAGAGGAATTAAAGTTATCGAAAACCTCAAGACCTTGTCCCATTCCTCTTTCCTCCATCTACAATGGATACCATCTCATGTATATCTAAAAGAAAATTATATAGCATACGGATTAGCAAAGGAGGGTACTTCCATGCCTCAGGTTTAAGCTAAACCTTTGATCTACCTTGAATTAAACTCGAAAAGAAAGGTTAGTTGATGATTCTTGGGGACAACTACCAAAACACTCATTGGTATCCTAGTACAGGTACAGGTCCTGGTACTGCTGCTGGTTTCAAAGGTGACAGGAAGAACCAAACAGTTCTGGCTCGGTTGACTTCATGGCATTTAAGGACCCTCAGATATTCCCGTGGTACTAAAACTTTCTTCACATGTGCCAAATGTAAAAATCATGAAGATACTGTGCAACATCTACTTAGTTCTGTTGGCTTGGTCTGCCTAATTTCACGCTTGAAGTTATGAAAGCAAATGAATATATACAGTTGATCTGATTTAGACCAGAAGAATTACTAATTGTAAGATTCTTGTCTTTTAATTTACAGCTAAAGTTGAGGAACCTTAAGAACAGGTAAGCGAATAATTACTTTAGTTCAGTAGACAGAGAACAGAATTCGAGAAGGGTTAAATACCCTTTATTATTCCAAATAAAGTTCACAGAAGACTCCTTCTTGGAGTTTTACAATAAAGCCTCCACTTGGGCTTGAACTCAGGAAACTAAGAAATAAAACTTAACTAATCTTAACTAAAAATATATAGCTGAAGCTATCAAGATTCTATCAGAGTTGGACTCTTAATGCTAACTATCGGTGAAGCTGTCAAGGGCCTAACGCACAGCCGAGCGTAATAATAGCTTGTTAGAGAGTATCGCCAAAAGGCTAACGCGCGCTGATCAAAATCTCTGGCTCTCTAACGAAGTAAACTTCACAGTTAAATACTTCTTCTCCTCATTTGCATTCAACCACGATTCTGAAAATGCATTCTGGCCGGAAGTTGTAAACTGAAATTAAGGAAAGACAGGAAAGTAACTTTTAACTAAAAATTAACTGTTAGATAAAATAAGATAAACCTTACATAACAATAAGGTTATTTAATATATTAGGAGAAAAAAACACAAAATTTATTGACATACGTTAAGAACAAAGAAATGAGAAAGTATAATTATTCTGAAAGAACCTGAACCAATGACATATGTATGCATACAAAATTAAAGGGAAGGTAAAGGATTCGGAAATGAAACACACTTTCAGTTTGCTTCAAGGTTAAGAGATACATGGGTTTATTATTGTAAACTAATGAAAGATAAGGATTTTGAAACTTAATAGAACTTAACTTGGAAAGTTAATTATAGTGGATAAGTCAATGGAAAATTTAGATAAAGAAGCATCAGCTATGTAAAAACACGAGAGGGAGAAAGTTGATTCAGTCCAATAGAATTAGCTAAAGTAAGTGATCATTATTTTACTTTGAAAGGAAAGCCCATTTCATATTCATAAAATAGAACAATTAAGATTCCTAATCAAGAGTTTTGGATTAATGGTTAAAGCATCGCAAACTCTACCTAAAAGGGAAGCTTTCATTGAAAAGTATGGAGGCAAACAAGAGTATTACATTTGTGGGAACTCGGTCATTTAGTGCTAAACTGCAGAGAGAGAATTAATGTACAAAAAAGAATTCATTAACTTCAGGAACAGAGAGAAGCATTAAAGAGGTCATTATACCAAATGGAAGTTTCGTGGTTTCAATCACGAGTAACACGAATATGAACCAGATTTCCTTAAAGAATTATCCATGGTGGCATCCCTCACCATAGGTATAGAGCCCTCAAATTGCTCTGCTAATTAACCAGCAAATCACAAAAGAAGAGTACTATGCCTTAAAGTATAATTTGATGTTGTTAGTAATCTTATATTCTTATTTTTCCTGCAAAAAGATCATTTAAAAAAACACATAATGACCGAGTGTCTTATCAGAAATCACATAAATATAAAAAAGGTTTCTTTACTAACTATGATAAATTTTTACCAATTCCAAAATACTGAAAGTGTTTATTTCATATCATACCGAATAGCTCTAATTTTTTCTTCTTCATCATCAGCATACATTGTCATCGTGAGTTTGTTGGAGCGAATTCGTCTTTCAGATTCAGAGATCTCTACATCTATGAGAACAAAGGAATATAATTCTCAATACATAAAGCTACAAAACCATTATTTGTATAAAAAAGCATAAGAAAATATGTAAACATGCATACAATTTAAATGGCTTTATGTTTAGGCTTTATTAATATATAAAAGGTATTAAAAAAGGCTAGAAGAGACATAACCAGGCCTGAATTCAGGGGATTCCCATTTGTACAAATGGAATTTCTCCAACTGGCTAACTTATTACATAATAGAATAGCAAATTGATATTCAAACCTATGGAGAAAATCAAAATTTCTTTTTAATTTTTACACTAAAATGGAATTATTTAATTAACTAAAAGTTTTTTTTTTCAATTATATATTTTATCACACTGTTAATGTATAGAATTAATCTCTTTTTAGTTAGGTGTTTCCATTACATATATATTCTTCAAACTAGTAGCCTGATTTTCATATTCTTGGAGGCAGATTATACATTTTATGATTACACATGTAAACACATTTTATGATTTTGTTGCTATGTAAATGTTATTTGCACTAAGTATAACTTTAAGAAATAGATAGGAATTAAAAACATTGAAAGGAAATCCAAGTAAATTTGAAAATTTATTCTCAGAAATTTGAAAAATTATTAGGTTACCTTTCGACGTGCTAATAATTTCTGCTCTTTCAACAAACACATACACAACCATATGTTTCTCTTTAGAAAGCTCCCACAAAGTTGCTAATGTGGGCAACAAAGTGGAATTTTAATTATTGTTTTTTCAAATGAAAGAATAATTAATTAAAATTGTATTATTAATTATGCATTACTTTAACTATCTAGTAGGAAGCATTAAAATCAAAGTAAAATTTGAAGTACACTACTATAGTTATTAAGGTAATTCCATGTTTTATTTTTGTAAGGTTGAAAAATATGAATTACTCCAATTAATGCTAATGACACTAGAGACTTATTAACTGTCATTTTAGTCATTATCATATTTGAATTAATCAGATTCCCTAAAAGGACAGTTGTCAAGAAAATTTGGTTCCTGGATATAATCAGTAAACTAGATAATGATCAGTACAGTTTGATAGTTGGTTTAATCCTAATATATTGTACACACTAGATCTGGCGATTTTTGGCAACATTATGATGAGCAGTAAACGCTGTATTTATGATGAGCAGTGAACGAGCCATTTTGGTGTTGGCGGCAATTTTCAAAATCGTGCCAAGGCCGTACCAGTTACTAGGATTTTACATGACGGTTTTCTGAAAGGTTGCTGAGCCGAATATAAATTTCATGCTTTACAGTGGAAACATTTCATATACTCATGAAACTTTAGAGCTGTACCAGATCAATATCGCTGTACAGAAAATACTAGAAGAATTAATGAAAATATGTTAGAAGAAGCATGAGTGATTCATTCATATGGATATTTGATCCTGTAAGGGAACAAAACCAATGAGTCTCTTTTCAGCTGTCTTTTAAAGATCCTAAAAATTTAAGGCAAAACATTGCCAACAGAAACACAATTTAGAAAAGTATTAATATGATTTATTTCAAACTGAAAGAATGAATGCAAAGAAGTCTTTAATTTGTACATCATTAATGCTGGCCAGCAATGCTCCATCTGAATTATCACTATTGCACAACTTTAGATTTATTGTTTCATAAGTACTATGTTATTACTTCATTTCTGTATAATGTTTTTATATTGCTAAAAACAACTGCAATCTCTTTGTTAGCATTTTCTTTCTTTTGGTTTGAAAAAAGGTCCTTCAATGCCATAAAGTAAATAATTATAATGGAATCATTATTGTCATGTGAAATAAAAAATTAAACTAATTACTTTCAAAATGATAAGGGGAAGTTGATGCCTTACATGAGGATTAAATCTTAGAAGTTTAAACTTAGAATAGCCCTAGTACTTCAGAAGTTTATATAATTAGAATTTTGGATAATTTTAAAGCTGATGTATTTCACTACATATGTTATTTGCTTACATGCAGCTTAGAATTTACTCGACTTGAAAAAGATTACTTTGACAGGTTATAATGCTGAAATTCAGCCCAAATTTCGTCTTTCCAGTAACATTAAAAATTTCATTCGTATACTGAAAAGCGTGACGAAATTTTAGCTTTTCTATAAATTATGAAGATTTTATTGATTATGTTAAAAAGGGCATGAATTCTATAATAATACTTAACATTATGAAATTTAATTTATGCACAAGAGCCATGAGGACATTACAAGAATTAAGGTGGTCACAGCTCTCCTTGATTGAAAGCCCATTTTCTGACAATATTCATATCTTTGTTTTTTAAGACAACAGAACCTCACACAATAGAATTACTTAATCATTACTTAACTACCATACACTTAAATAAATAACTTAAATGTGAATTAGAATATACAAACAAATATTTTCTTGTTTTTAGTACATTAGAAATATGAATTAAAATTTGCTTTATTGCAAAATAAGGTTCAGCATAAAAGTATAACGATGCACACACTAAGCTAAGTAAAGTTTTAACTTTAACCCTTTCCTGGTAACATCTCGAACAATGTAAACATAGCAGGAATGTGAAATTAGTGATATTTTAAAAATCTGTAATGGGAAGAGAAATGCTTAAGTGAGTTTCAAAAAATTACACTCTCTACAAAATTTGACCAGATAAATGAAGAAGCGAAATACTTTAAAAATTTTATTACAAAATAAATGCAAGGTGCAAAAATAATCGAAGCTTTCATTGTTTGTTTAATTGAAAAGCAAATTTTTACATAATGTTTTTCAAGCTGATTGGTATAACTGAAATCGAAAGATGATTTGCTGCACAGGATTTATACTTATTTGCTTTTAGTTCTTATTTCAGATTTTGTAACTAAGAACAACAAAGCTGTTAAGCTAAAGCTATACTCAAACAAAACATTAAATACTTAACAATATTTAATAATGTAATACTTATTTTACTAACCAAGATCACGTTTTCTATCTGCATGGGATTTTCTTTTTTTTTCACAGCTAGTTTGCTGCATATCTGTAATGAGAACCTACGTTTTAAAAAATATTTCTTAAATCAAATAAAATAGTTCATTACAGCGTTTTTAAGAAATGGATAAACAAAATTAAATAGATAAACAAATTTAAATTTCTTTATGCATTTACAAAAGCTATTGAATTTTATTACTATGTAATTATTCATTAAATATTTTTTTAAGTTATCAATGTTACTTCTAAAGTTGAAATAAAATTAGAGCAGAATTAAATAAAACAATAAAAATTAATATAGAACTCACTGAATTGATGGCACTTTACTATATTTTATTAAACAATATAGAATACCGTTTTAAAAATTATTCCCACAGCTTGTATCTCATTTTGACAAAAGTTTCTCGCCACCGCAAATAGTTCGCGTTGGCATGTTTAACCTATTTTGTTAAATGAATTTTGGTATTCGGGGAAAAAAAAAAAGAGCCTTGCTTTAGAACACCGTGTTGAAATTTCTAAAAAAGTATCGTTATCATTAAATACAAGGTGTCTGAAATGGAACTGTAGTATTTCATTCAAGTGAGGCAGAGTTGCGCCGTATCAGTCAATCAGCAAGAGGTGCAGATAACGTTATGTTATGTCACAACTTCTCTCTCGCCTCAGACTTTCTTTTGGCGGGTTCCGTTGGGAGCCGTTTCTGTGTGCGAAATTAAATATATTTTTTTGTTAAATGCTGTTTCATGCTGCTTCATTCAAATACAAGAGTCTGACCAACCAATGCCACCTTTAATGGTGGCTTTAGGATAATGTTTTACACTAACGGACACTTTCAGTTTTGATTCTTCCCACTGGCGCGTGTTCCACCTGAACAATGGCTGATTTCGAAATTTCCACTGTGGTGATTGCACCTTTTTAAGTTGATCCATCTCTTTGGTTTCACATGTTGGAATCGACGTTCAAATTAGCAACTGCTAAACCGATATAGGAGCAAAAGACAAAATTCAACTACGTCGTGGCTCACTTATCACCTAATATCGCCACTGTTGTTCATGATGTCATCATTCAACCCTACAATGTCTGAAATCAAAAACTACCCCAAGATGTTTCGAATCAAAGACTCAAGAAATTCGTCGGCTACTAGCTGGAGAAAGCCTCGGTGGTCGGAAGTCCAGCGAACTCCTCCGCATTATGAAGCGTCGAGCAGGGAATCACAATATAGACGACTCACTCTAATTTGAACTCTTTAATCAAGGGATGGCTGTTCCTGTCCAACTACATTAGCTTCCATCTCTCCTATTACTTCGAATAAAGCGGAAGTAGCTGATCGAATTTTGGCTATAATCAACGCCAACATTTCCGCCATCATCCCTAACAACGAATCTTCTTCGGAAAATGCCAGCTGTCTCTCAGGCTTCGTAAAGATATCAAAGCTCTTCGGAAGGAAGTTTCTGAACTTCATCGTTCCAAGAGTTCATCTCGTACCAGTTTTTCTGGCCGCAAACGTTCCAAACTGCGTGACAACAAGTTATGCTGGTATCATCGAAAATTCAAGAACAATGAAATAATAATAATAATAATAATAATAATAAATAAAAAGCGTTTCGCCGTGTTCCGACAAGGAAAACTTGACGAAGGATGTCAGGTGACCGACTCTTTCCACTCTCATACATCACGTCGCCTTTTCATTACAAACCGATCCAAAGGTGTTTTCTAATAGATTTAGGAAGTGATGCGGGTTTAATTGTTGCAAATAAATCTATCATTCATTGATGTCTATAGTCGTAAATAATAACTGTTAATTTTAGCTTAAGACGCAATTTTGCTTTCTCTTTTTATATTTGTAGATGGATGCTCGATTATGCAGCAGGTGCAGATTTTTTTACATTTCTTCGATTTATCTCCTGATTTACGTAACAAATGTCTAATTGATTTAACAACAAATTTTAAAGTACCTTCCAAATTAAATACTTGTAATATTTTTTCTGTAAAATCTTGTGTTGATAATGTATTTGGCAAATTATTGTTACAATATCCTGATATTACTAAATTACCGGATTTCGATCAACCTGTAAAACACGAATACTGTGCATTATTATAAGCACTAAAGGTCCTCCAGTTGTTGCTAGACCTAGACGGTTAGCTCCTGACTGCCTCAAAATTGCTAAAGCTGAATTTCAGCGCATGATTCAACTGGGTCATACGAGACCTTCAAAAAGACCATATTCTTCGCCTTTGCACATGGTGCCCAAGAAAGGGTCTGTTGAATGAAGACTTGTTGGCGACTCTCTTAATGAACAGACTGTCAAAGAAAAGTATCCTATTCCGCGCATAGCTGATTTTACTTGAGAACTGCATAGTAAACAAATGTTTAGTCATATTGATCTCGTAAAAGCGTACCACCAAATTCCCTTACAGACTAAATATGTACATAAAACAGTTATATATATTCCCTTTGGTCTGATTGAAACTTTGAGAATGCAGTTTAGTCTTTGTAATGTTTCCTCAACCTTTCAATGGTTTATCGACGAGGTCACTAGAGACCTGCTTTTTTTTTTTTACGCTTTTATTGATGATTTACTTGTCGCTTCTAGTAATGAATAAGAACACTTACAGTAGTTAAACCTCCTACTTTCTAAACTTCAGGAACATGGTTAGTGTGTAAATAACGAGAAATGCAAAACTAGGTCAATCTACTATAGATTTCCTAGGATTTAAGTTATCAGGTGAAGGAACTGAACCCATCCCTAATCGTGTAAAATGCATCCTAGATTTTCCTCAGCTGCAGGCCCTCTTAGAATGACCGCGATTCTTAGTTTTATTTAATTTTAACACGTTTAGTCAAATTCCTTGAAGGCCATACTATTAAAAAGAGACATCCTCGTTCCAAAGCTTCTACCGAGCGATTACAATGGGACGATGAAGCCACACTTTCCTTCAAAGAGTCTAAGGAAACTATCGCTAAAGCAAGCTTGTTACGGCATCCCATGCCCGGTGCACAGTTAAGTCTATGGGTCGATACGTCTGATTTAGCAATGGGCGGCTCGCTCATGCAACTTGTTAAACAACAGTGGGAACCTATATCCTTATATACAGCTAAACTAAGTAAATCTCATACGAAATGGTCCAGTTATGACAGTGAACTCTATGCTGTGTACTCTTTAGTCAAAAAATTTGGGCATATGCTTGAAGTGGGGAATTTTGTCATCTATACCGATCAGAAACCCCTTAAAATTACATTCATGTAACATCTTGACAAATGCAGCCCTCGCCAATTAAGCCATTTGGATTTTAACCCCCAGTTTACCACTCATATTGAATATACTAAAGGCTCTGATAACACATTGTCGCCGATGCGCTATCCCGAATTAAAGTTCATCCGCTGTGCTCGATTTTCAAAAATTCGCTGGCAGAAATTTAACAACTTTTAGCATCCAATAGCTCCTCCTTAAAATTAGAGAACCATTATTTTCCTGTCGAGGATATTCATCTGTATTATGACATGTCATAAAAACATCCCCGTCCTTTTGTTCCTCAGTGTATGAGATTAGCAGTTTTCAAAACCTAATTTTTCTCTTATCTCGATAGCTCAGCCTCAATCGACTTAATCGCTAAACGTTTCATATGGTCACACAGGTGACTGAGAACGGGGGCACCTGGCGGCTACCAGAGGTAATAAAGTCTCTTGTGCGCAGCTGTGATCAATGTTAATGAGCTAAAATCGCTAAACATACCAAATCTCCTAATGACACATTTGCTGAACCGGATGCTCGTTTTCCACAAATACATATAGATTTTACAGGCCCTCAACTCCATCTGACGGAAAACGGTTTCGCATAACTATCATCGACCGGTTCACAAGATGACCGGAAGTTATTCTAACAACCGACATGACTGCGGAAACAGCCACTTAGTACATGGCGGGATATCCAGATTTGGATGGCCAGTTACACTTTCATCTGAGCAGGGTAAAAATGTTGAATATAATCCTTTTAGAGAACTTACTCGCGCGCTTAGGTGCAACAGGATTCGAACTTCTGCATATCACCTCCAGTCAAATGAAATTATCGAACGCTTTCATCGGCATCTTAAAACAGTCTTTAAAGCACATAAGAACACAATGGACAGAAATCTTCCACTTGCCTCTTAGGCCATTAAGGAAGATGTCAAAGCAACGTCTGCTCAACTTGTTTATGGCACAACATTAAGATTAACTTCCGATCTAGTAACCGGTGATGCCATAAACCAGACCTTAAATTCCATATACGTAAACAGTTTACTTCAGACAATGAGATCCTTAAATCCTATTTCTACTGACGTACACTGTAGTCCCAACATTTTGATCAACCCCTCATTAAAAACTTGTTCTCATATATTTTTAAGATCTGATAAAGTTAATCCTCCATTGACATCGCCTTATACTGTGACAGAAATGATAAGACTTATTATTGATGTAAATGTAAAACGTACTCCCCCCTACAGCTTCAAAAATTTAAACTATATTTAATGTTTGTGTTACGCATATGTTCCTACTGTATTCATAACCATGTACAGTATATTTTTATTACTTCGTACTTCATTTTCTATATTTCACTACTTTAGCATTATATCATCATTTTATATATTGTAAATATTTATTATTTGTAATCGTGGCTTCGTCACTGGGGGCATATTCTGTAGCACTTCATTCATGCCCGCGAGAAATGTGCTGCATAAGCCAATCAGCAAGAGGCGCACATGATGTGTTATATTTTACGTCACAACGTCTCTCTCGCCTCAAACTCTTTTCGCGGGCGCGCTAGAACGAGAAAGATCGCTGTACAGTGCTTCCGGTATGAATTTCGTTTCTGTATGTGAAATAAAATATATTTTTATATTAAATGCTGCTCCATGCTGCTTTATTCAGATGCAGTAGTCAGATCAACCAATATCACGTCTAAAACTATCTTGCTACCAGATTAGAACCGCCATTTACTTCCAGTTCTGTTGCAAAAAGTTAACCACAGATTGTTGGTTGGTTGGTTGACTTTTAACGGCACGAAACCTTGTAGG